GCACGCGAAACCATATGGTTTACCATGCGCGCGGCGCGAATTATAGACATGAGTAGACATGGAAGCTGTGCAACAGTATCGGGCCGGACGAGAGGGGGGGATAGCAAAGGGGGGGATTGAGAATCAGCCCACGTGGCTGATTTTCCTGGCGCCTCCCGGCGCCGGAGGCGGCCATGTATCGAGGAGTGGGCCCCTCGGTGGGGCCGAAGCCAGCTGCATGCAGCAGATTTCGTAGACCCCCGTTTCCCAATCCCCCCCTGTCGTTCGGGCGGAGACAGAAACATCAAAACTCGGAGGTCCGCGCGGATTTCTCGGTTCGGCGCGGGGCCCCCTTCCCTGGCGCGCGGAGCGCGCCAGGGGCGGCGCCCGAGGCGCCGCCAAGGGGGGTCCAGTTCGGATCCGAGAAATCCGCGCGGACCTCCGAGTTTTTATGTTTCTGTCATGCCTCGTTCCCCTAATGATCCCTCACCATCCCTGCTCATTCCTCCTCATCCTGCTGTGACTCGTGTCGCCGCCCCCGCAGCGGTATCATGGAAAACGAACGCGACAATAGACATCCCTCTTGTAGGGCCAGGGCCAGTCCCCACCCCGGCCCCGGCCCCGGCTCCGACCCCGGCCCCCGCTCCCGGCTCTCGGCCCCGGTCCCGGTCTCCTCCTCCTCCTCCTCCTCCTCCTCCTCCTTCCTCCTCCTTCCTCCTTCCTCCTCCTCCTCCTCCTCCTCCTCCATTTCTTGCTCCTCCTCCTCCTCCTCCAATTCTTCCTCCTCCTCCTTCCGCTCATCCTCCTCCTTCTCCTCCTCCTCCTCCTCCTCCTCCTCCTCCTCCTCCTCTCCTTCTCCTCCTCTTCTCCTCTCCTCCTCCCTCCTCCTCCTCCTCCTCCTCCTCCTCCTCCTCCTCCTCCTCCTCCTCCTCCTCCTCAGCAGCATCATCATCATCATCATCATCATCATCATCATCATCATCATCATCATCATCATCATCATCATCATCATCATCATCATCCTCAGCATCAGCATCATCATCATCATCATCATCATAATCAATATCAACATCAGCTTCATCATCCTCATCCTCATCCTCCTCCTCATCATCATCATCAACCTCATCATCATCCTCATCATTATCCTCCTCATCCTCCTCCTCATCATCAGCATCATCATCAGCATCATCAGCATCAGCATCATCATCGTCAGCAGCATCATCATCATCCTATTATTCCTTGCTCCTCCTCCTCCTCCGTATCAGCATAATCATTATCAACACCACCACCACCATCATCAGCAGCAGCAGCATCAGCATCAGCATCAGCATCAGCATCATCAGCATCATCAGCATCATCAGCATCATCATCATCATCATCATCATCATCATCATCATCAACATCAGCATTATCATTATCATTATTGCCGTCGTCCTCATCTTCGTTCTCATCCTCCTCCTCCCTCCTCCCTCCTCATCCTGCTCTTCCTGCTGTTCCTCCTCCTCCTCCGCGTCCTCCTCCTCATCCTCCTCCGCCTGCTCGCCATCCTCCTCCCTCCTCCCTCCCTCCTCCCGCCTCCCTCCTCCCTCCCCCTCCTCCCGCCTCCCGCCTCCCTCCTCCCGTTAGTCGTAAGTCGTCCGTTATCGGCGTCGATGCCGCCATCGTCATCGTCGTCGTCGTCGCCGGTGTCGTCGTCGTGTCAACCACCAGCATCCGGAGCGCCTCGGATCGGCTGCACTGGCCGGAGGCCATTCAAATAAATATATAACTATATCAGTATACATGCTGTTAATGGGCAAGGGAGAAGCACTATCTATCAGGTGTGCTTTTTGCAATTGCGCCATACCTGACATCCTCCAACCCCTTCCTTCCTTTCCAATTGTGTTGAACCCCTCTCTATTCGCAGACTCGGGTGACGAACAATACTAAATGCCGCGGTCTTTCCCGACACCCGACTTTGCACATAGCGACGCACAACATGCAAGAACAACCCTGGCCTGGGGAGATACACCGCACATGCGGATGCAGAGGGGGGGTCACCGCCGCAGCAAGAGAGCCGCTTGGGATCTAACTGGAAATCAACGTTGCACAAGCTGCAACGGGAACGCTGTTGCTCATGCAGGAGTGCGGCTAGGAGTACAGCTCGCTGCAACGATAGCATAGCACCTTTCCTTTGGACGTGCGCACCCTACTTTGGCAGATGCAGGGGTACGGCCAACGCTGCGATGACAGCGTCGTTCTCTTGGACGTAGGCTCTCTGGATGTCATGTCATGTGGCAAGCGCTGCAACGGGAATCGAATGTTTGCAAGGCCGAGAAAGGTCTGGCTGGAGCAGAAAGACACTTACAACCACAAGCTCGAGACCGTCCTTATGTAATGAACAGCCTGCGGGCGAACATCAAGACGGCATCAAGGAAGGAAGAAGAGTGGTACTCACAGCACGCTCCAGGCTTCCGCCTTAAGTTTGCGCAACGTCAGAAGAGTAGTGCTCGCATGCTGTGCAACTGTGAGGAGGAAAGAAGCAGGACGACAAGGGGGATGGGGATGGGGAATGGGAAAGAGAGCGAGAGGGATCAGGGATCAGGGGCAGGCGGCGAGAGAACAACTGAAGCGGCAGCGGCGAACAGGCATCGAGAGGTCGAGTGGAGGAGGAGGAGGCGGCGGCGGCGGCGGAGGCGGAGGAGGCGGCGACGGAGGGGGATGAGGGGTAAGAGGGTGAGGGGAAGGAGGAAGTGGGGAAGGGAGGGCCTCCTCCGCCTCCTCCTCCACCCTCCTCCTCCTCCTCTTCCTCTTCCTCCTCCTCCTCCTCCTCCTCGCACGTAGCTGCGCGCCACGTGTCCCTCATCCGCGCTGGCCGCCGCGCACCCTCGCCCGCGTGAGCTGGACCCTCGTGAGGGGAACAGCCGACTGTGCCACCTCTAAAGTGAGAGGTTCAGGTGGCATGAAGAGCGAGCGGAGATTCACAAACAGGAGATAGGCAGCAGCAGGGACGGTAAGACTAGAGATGGTCGGAAGAAAAACACCAGAGCGACAAATCGGACAGTAATGGACTTGGGAGCACAGCACAGATTCGAGAAGCTGGATAAAGCGTGGGCAGCACCAATAGTGGACAAAGCTGTCAGGGCCACCGCAGCCCAGCAGACAGCATAGTGGTTCACTGTCGTGAAACCGCACGGCTGTGATCCAACTACCAGAGAGAGTCTTCCATATCGCATTCACTAAAGGGCCTCTCATTCGAATGAGAAGCTCACGGACCTCTTCCCATTTCACGTGCACCAGGACCTCCGCGGCCTCAGGGAACCAACGAGCCCAACGCTCCGAGAAAACAACGTCCAGGGAATCAGGGAAGAGTTCTCGTTGGAAAATCTTCAGCAGTCTACCTTGCATCTTCACATTCTTGGGGGGGCGAGGGAGGGCGGAGGCAGAGGTCAAGAGCTCCAGCGCAGCATCACGGGCGATCGATCCAGCTCGAGCAAGGTCCCGAGAGCGAGAGAAGCCACCTGCCGCATCCGAGAGATGCTCCACAAACGCTGGTGACTGCCAGAAGCGCGGGGACAGCTTCTCAGCCGAGAGATCAACGATCTCGAGATGGCGAGAGGCAAACTCAGATAGCTGGTCCAAGAGCATTCGATATTCAGGGAACGTGTTGACAGCGGCTCTCATTAGCGTGGCACAGCTCAATGACCTCACACTTGTGAGTTGCGGTCCTCCCCATTGGTGAAGCGAGAACCAGCCACTCCGTGGAAGCGAGCAATGGGGGACTTTGAAGAGAGAGGCGAAGGAGGCATGCTCAACACGAGAGAGCGGGGCGGGAAGGGCAGGGCAAAGCTCAGGGATGGGACAGAATTGGGCGACATAGGTGAGGGTTGAGACGGCACGACTAGAGTACATGTATTCAGTGATGGTCGGCGGGGCGCCGACCTTGGCAATCTGCACTGTACGTCCTGCCCATTTCAAAAGAGGCTTGTGCCAGCTCTCAGTGGTCACGCTGGGCCCAAGAATCATGCCAAGATAGGTCAGGGAACTCACAACCTGGAGCGCTCCCCAATCGGGGAGAAAGTTCTGAAGCCAGAATCGATACTTGGCGACGAGGGTGGGCGAGAAGGGGCCCGCAAGAGGAACCAGGAAACACTTGGCATACTTGAGCTTGAGACACGCAAGGGCCTCACTGCAGTCGAATACGTCCTTCAGTTGAAGAAGATCACGAAGCGCTGAAACCACAGATCCAATATCATCAGCACAAGCCCTTGCCATACTCATCTGGCGTTCTCGAGCTGGACCTGTGAGATCTTCTCGCAGCTCGCCAGGTGGCACATCATTCTGAGCTTCCAGCCGTTTCCACATGTCCACGAGAAAGGGGTGGCTCCCGACGGCGAACAGGGCGCCAGACCCTGGGCATCCTTGAATGATCCCCGACATGATGTAGAACAAGAAACTGCATACTCTGCCGAATGTGCCAAAGCAGCGCACGCTCGTGTACAACGTCTCTACGAAGATCTGCATGGGCAGCGGCACATGGAAGGCAGCAAGCGTCATCATGATCCATCGGTGCGCGACCGACGGGAAGGCCTGTCCATAATCGAAAGATATCAAAGCTGGAAGCCGAGCAGCGGCATCGGGGAGCATCGAAACCATTCGGGCTCGCACGTCGAGCTCGAGAATATTTAGACCGAAATTCCTCCCTCCGACGAATCCCCTTTGAGAATAATGGACTTTATCACCCAGTCGACGGGATAAACTCTCGAAAACGACGCCCGTGACCAGCTTGTTCGACGATTGTTTTAGTCCTAGAGGCCGGGTAGCTTCAGCGTTCCGAACGACCTCCTCCTCCTCCTCCTCCTCCTCCTCCTCCTCCTCCCCCCTCCCGCCCATCTTCCTTCTCGTACCCCTCATCCCTCCGCCCCCCAAGGCGACGACGAGCGACACACGATGCCTGACGGACGACGAACGAGGACCGACAACCGACGAACGACAACGAAACGCACGGACGAACGACGACGCAGGACGCGACGCCGCGCTGCCTCGGCGGAGCCGAGGTCGCACGCGCAGAAACGCCCCTCCACACAGCCGATCCGACAATGCGCCGCCGCCACGGCGTCCTCGTCGCCGTCGCCCCAGCAGAGGGCGGCCACCTCCGGGGTCGTCGTTTGTCATCGTCCGTCGTCTGTTCGGAGGTCGTTCGTGGTTCGATCTCTTCGTCGTGCGCCGCTCGATCGTCGCCGCTCGTGCGGTCGTCGCCGTCGGCTCGTGGCTCGTCGTTCGTGCGTTGCTCGTTGGCCATCCTTCGTTCGTCCGTCGCTCCCGTCGACCCGGCGGATTGGGCCACCTCAGAGGTCGTCGCTCGTCGTTCGTTCATTTGGTCGTTCGCACGCAACGTTCGTTCGTAGTCTGTCGGCGCTCGTTCGTCGTTCGGCAGCAGGCGCAGCCGCCCCAGCAGAGGGTGGCCACCTCTGGAGTGCAACGGCCCAAGATCGCCCCGCTGACAGGCACCCTCGTGGTGGCACTCTCCACCACGTTGGTCCTTCAGGAGGAGAAAGATGAATTTGAGGAGGGGGTAGGAGGAAGAGGAGGAAACGGAGGCAGAGAACGAGGAGCCAGGTTCCACTCCCCGAGGATCCCCACAGGCCGGTGGAAGTCGACTGCCAGGCTGCTGTTGGGGGGAGCTGCATCTCTGGCCAGGGCCCCCGATGGGGTGACTCCGGTTCTGCGACTTTTCTGGAGGGAGGGCTGGCCCACCGTGTCCAAGGGCAAAGGCGCATCGTGACATCGACGATGCGACAGCTGACCTTTGCCGCTTGCGTATTTGGGGTAACCGCTTACGGCAAGTTCGTGTCGTGTCGACCTGGGGGTTGGTTCCTGACAACGCGGGGATCGTTCAACCTTGAACGACCGGCTGCGTCCGCAACGTTTGATGGCTCAACATCGAGCAATTCTAGGCCGCCGCTGGCGTTCAATGTTGAACGCTGGCGGCGGGGTTGCCGCCGGTCGACACGACACGAACCTACCGTAGTGTTTTTTACGCTCGACGGAAGCGGACGTCCACAACTTGGCGCACAACGAACCCAATACATTGGTTTGTCGAAGAGCGCGTGAGCATTGTGAGCTGTGCCATGGAGCTGTAGTCGTCCTGAGTTGATGGTCGCTGTGAGCGAAGCTTACGGTACCCTCAAGAGGACACCCACACCCAAAAGTCGGCGGCCCCCTGGGCCCCAGCATTCCCTGGTCTGGGCTGGGGCGTCGTGGAGGTGTCGTGCTTGTCTCAGGGAGGCGTCCTCCAGAACGGATTCGCAGTGCAGTCAAGGAGGTCTGGGCCACTTCCCCGCGACCGGCTTTTCATTCCAGCCCTTTCTTCATTGTCCTGGGGGCCTGGAGACCAGAAGCGGCTAAATGAAATCCCTTGTGTTGTTTTGCAAGATGCAGGCCGAAGCAGCAAAACACACACACACACACACAACAAACACACACACACACATTTCAACGTGATACTTTCAAGAGTGCGAGGTGGTCTGCCTTACCCTCGCCGCCCTGAGTAGTGGTGGAGCTGGCCCTGGCTACGCACTGCATGTGGCGCACCTCGAAGGCTCCGGGCGGCCGATCGTCCGTGGGAGGCCTGCGACCGGGAGGGCGAGCAGGCTCCTCCTGGCCATCGCTCGGACGTCCATTCCTTGTGTTTTTTGTCGGTTTCGTGCGTGGCTTTTTCGCCAAGTGATCAAGGATGCTCCTCGATGGTCCTGGCGGGAGGAAAAAATGCACGCGTCCGAGCGATGCCAAGCCTCGAGCGGTGCCCTCCACCACCCTGCGAGGCTCCTCGAGCGGTCGCGAGCCTTCCGCGGAGCCGGGCGCCAGGAACTGACGCCGCGCCCTCGGCAGCTGCCCCGGCCGGCCTCCCTGCTGTTACGTCGGGCGTGTCCCCCTACAGGGGGATTTTCGACGAAAAACAGAAAATACAAAAAAATCTCCCAAATGGCCAAAAAAAAACAAAACATGTCCCCTGACTATTTTTTTATAACTATTTTTGGATCTTCCCCCTGTAGAGGGACAGGCCCGACTTAACCCTGCTGTCTTCGCTGCCCCGCCCCCTCCGTCTCCTCCCGTGCGGCCCCAGAGGGCGTGAGCCTCGGGCGGGCGGGCGCTCCGGGGCGTCGGGCCCGAGAAGGGCCTGCCGGGCGATATCCGCCCGATGTTCGCGGCAGGCCCTTTGCGTTGTCAGGCCGAGCTGCTCGATTCAGTATCAGAGGAAAGGGAACTGTGCACATACACCGATCCTGACCAGACCAATCCTGAGCCCAGGATCGGTGCATACGCCCTCCTGTATTGGCCAGGAAGACATATGCATCGATTCTGGGCCCAGGATGGGCCTGGCCAGGACTGGTGCATGTGCATGGTTCTCTTCGCCCCGGTGACGAATGACTAACACGACGCACGAACGGTGAGCGACGGCAGCGAGGAACGAGGAGCGACGAGTGACTAGAATTATGTCGGGCGTGTCCCCCTACAGGGGGATTTTAGACGAAAAATACAAGATATCCTCAAATATGCCCCAAAAAGGTCAGCAAATACTCAACAAAAGAGTCCCCAGACTATTTTTGGAGCATTCTTGGATCATTTTTGGGGTATTTTTTTTTGTTTCGTCGAAAATTCCCCCTGTATGGGGACAGGCCCGACCTAAGACTGGAGCGATCCACGGCACGTCGTCGGAGCTCAGCCGCGCGAGCTTGGCGACCTGGCGCCTCAGCGCGCCGCTGGGGTCGCCCGGCGGGGCGCAGAAGGTCCGCGTGACGTAGACCTGCCCGCGTCGGCGTCTTCGTCGTCGTCATCGCTGCCGTCGCCGTCGCTGTCGCCGTCGCCGTCTTCGAGGCGCTGTCGTCATCCTCGTCCTCGTCGTGACCCGTTGTGGTGGTACTCTTCGTCGTCGTCGTTGGTGCCGTCGCCGTCGCTGTCGCCGTCGCCGTCTGCGAGGCGCTTTCGTCATCCTCGTCCTCGTCGTGAACCGCTGTCGTGGTGCTCTTCGTCCTCCTCCCGGCGTTTGCCTGAGAAGCCCGGGCACAGAGAATAGTTCCCGTTCTGGCCAGACTCTTCGTCCTCGCTGACGTCGTCGCCCTTCTCGCCCTTGTCCTCCTTATCCTCGTCGTTTCTTTTGGTTGCGGTAGGCAAACATGAGCATCGTAGCTGTTGCGTTAGAGTGGCAGGAAACCGACTTAGGCATAGCGCCACACAGTGAATTAGGCAGTGAGCCTGTGCGGAAGAGGAAGTGCACGAGAAGTGCTGGAAAAGCAGAGAAATGGGAGAAAAGGGAGGAATGCACCATCGGCCATAATCATAACAACACAGACTCTGACTCGCCCTCCCCGTCCTTGTCCTCCCCGTCCTCATCGTCGTCGTCCTCCTCTAGAAGAACAAAAACCGCATAAACACAAACTTGTGGCCTCCCGCGCGGATCTCTTGGATTCGCGCTGGACCCCCCTCCCTGGCGCGCGGAGCACGCCAAGGGATGAGCCGGCGGCGCCGCGGGGGGGCCCCAGGCGCGGATCCAAGAAATCCGCGCGGAGCGCCAATAGTTTATCTTTATGTGCTGTTTTCTTCCTCGATCCTCCTCCGCATCTTCATCCTCGCCCTCGTCCTTCTCATAATGCCGTCCTCCACCCTCGCTCTCCATTTCGTCGTGCCGTCCTCCTCCTTCTCGCCCTCGTCCTTGTCCTCCTTGTTCTCATCGTCGTCGTCCTCTACCTCTTCATCCTTGCCCTCGTCCTTCTCGCAGTGCCGTCCTCCTCCTCGGTCACCTTTTCGTCGTGCCGTCCTCCTCCTCCTCCTCCTCGCCCTCGTCCTCGTCCTTCTCGTCCCCATCGTCGTCGTTCTCCTCCACCCCTTCATTAGGGAACCCACGAAGGACGTACGCGCCCACCCACGTACACGAACACGGCCCCCCAATCCGCGAAACCGGCCGCGTAGTACGAACCTTCGCGCAAGGCGTAATCTCGAAACGAACGTGTATTCATGTGCGTGTACGTCCTTCTTTCGCTCCTGATCGTAGTGCCGTCCTCCTCCTCGCTCTCCTTCTCGTCGTGCCGTCCTCCTCCGCCTCGCCCTCGTCCTCGTCCTCCTCGTCCCCCATCGTCGTCGTCCCCCTCCGCCCCACGCACATGAACACGGGCCCCCGAATCCGCGAGACAGGCGGCGGGATACGAACCTTCGCGCAAGGCGTACTCTCGAAACCAACGTGGACTCATGTACGTGTACGTCCTTCTTTCGCTCCTGACTCTTCTCCTCCCCCTCCTCCCCCTCCTCCTCCTCCTCCTCCTCCTCCTCCTCCTCCTCCTCCTCCTCCTCCTCCTCCTCCTCCTCCTCCTCCTCCTCCTCCTCCCTCCTCCTCCTCCTCCATCCTCCTCCTCCTATCCTCCTCCTCCTCCTCCTCCTCCTCCTCCTCCTCCTCCTCCTCCTCCTCCCCCTCCTCCTCCTCCTCCTCCTCCTCCTCCTCCTCCTCCTCCTCCTCCTCCTCCTCCTCTCCTCCTCCTCCTCCTCCTCCTCCTCCTCTCCTCCTCCTCCTCCTCCTCCTCCTCCTCCTCCTCCTCCCTCCTCCTCCTCCTCCTCCTCCTCCTCCCCCCTCCTCCTCCTCCTCCTCCCCTCCTCCTCCTCCTCCTCCTCCTCCTCCTCCTCCTCCTCCTCCTCCTCCTCCTCCTCCTCCTCCTCCTCCTCCTCCTCCTCCTCCTCCTCTCCTCCTCCTGCTCCCCCTCCTCCTCCCCCTCCTCCTCCTCCTCCTCCTCCTCCTCCTCCTCCTCCTCCTCCCTCCTCCTCCTCCTCCTCCTCCCCCTCCTCCTCCCCCTCCCCCTCCTCCCCCTCCCCCCCTCCCTCCTCCTCCTCCTCCCCTCCTGCTCCTCCTACTCCTCCTCCTCCTCCTCCTCCTCTCCCTCCTCCTCCCTCCTCCCCCTGCTCGCCCCCGTCCTGCCCGCCGTCGCCTGCCCTGCTCCGCGGGCCTGCCCCCGCCGGGAGGAGCGGGTGCCTCGGCCTCCTCCTCGCTCTCCCTCTCGTCGTGCCGTCCTCCCCCTAAAACAAAGCTAGGATCGGGATAAATCGCTCCAGAGCGTTCCGGAGAGCTCTCAGAGCGTTCCGGAACGCTCTGGAGCGGCCGCGGCGCCCAATACATCCTCCAAACCCGCCGATTCTCAGAGATTTCGAGTGATCCCGATCAGATTTTGTCCCGATCTTCGCGTCGTTTTATCCCCCCCCCCAGGGGGCGCCCACTCCAAATGGATGCACCAAGAGAGTGCAGCGGAGGTCAGCCCACAAGACGCCCTCCACAAGAATCGGGCCGGGCGAAAGGGGGGGACAGCAAAGGGGTGGTTTGAGAATCAGCTCACGTAGCTGATTTTCCCGTCGCCTCCCGTCGCCAGAGGCGGCTATGTATCGAGGAATGGGCCCCTCGGTGGGGCCGAAACCAGCTGCATGCAGCAAATTTCGTAACCCCCCCTTTCCCAATCCCCCCCTTGCGTCCGGCCCGAGATGCACCAAGAGTGCAGCGGAGGTCAGCCCACAAGAAGCCCTCCACAAGAAGCCCAACCCTGAGACCCCAGGACGCCCCTTGACTTTTGGGCGTGGGAGCGTCGCGCTCTCCACGGCGAAAAACCGCCGAGACCCAAGAAACCCGGGGCACCCTGGAAAGCTGGGTGCTTCTTGGCAGGGGTCTCCACCGCATCCAACAGACACGCGGAGCACTATAGGGTACCCTCCCCGAGGCGCCCTCGATCTCACTCCTCGGTCCGGCTGTACGTCCTTCTTTCGCTGCGGATCTGGTCTCACCCACGCCCTTCCAATCGTAGCGCCGCCCTCCGCGCCGCGGAGACCTGCCCCGGCGGGGGCAGCGAATGGAGCGCCTCCAGCGCCGCGTCGTCCAGGCCGAGCATCCTCCGGGGACAGCTTTGCAGCGCTAGCGTCGCCGTCGCCGTTTGTTCGTCGTCGTCGTTCGTCGTCGTTGTCATGATTCGTCGTTCGGTGTCGTCTGCAAACGTGTGAGGGGTGTGCCAGAATGGGTGCGGTGGGCGCATGTGAACGCTGGCATTCGGGCCTTCGGAGGGGCTCCCTCTGGGGCCACGAAAAGTGCGAGGGGTGTGCCAAAATGGTTGACTGGTTCCGGCGAAAGGAGCCCCGGCGAAAGGAGCCCTGGCGAAAGGAGCATCCAGCGAAAGGAGCCTCAGGCGAAAGGAGCCTCTGGCGACAGGAACCCCGAGGAAAGGAGCCTCCGGCGAAAGGAGCTGGGCGAAAGGAGATCCGGCAAAAGGAGCTCACGCCCCCTGTTCTACCTCTTTGCTTCCATCTCCCTGTGCCCTCCATCCCTCTTCCTCCTCCTCCTCCTCCTCCTCCTCCTCCTCCTCCTCCTCCTTCGTCTCTTCTCTAATCCCTCCATCCTCTCTCCCCCTACCTCCTCCCTCCTTCCTCCCTCCTCATATGTCCGCTCTCTGCCTGAGACGTCAGCTGCGCCAGCGCTGGACTCCGCAAGGGTCCGGACTGTCAGCCAAGGGAGGGCCCGGCCCTGCACGTCGTCGTCGCCGCCCCTCCTCCGCAACCCCCGCACCCACAAGTGATCCACCACCTCCGTCACCACGTAAGCTGTAGTCAGTACGCTCTGCGCAAGCTTTTGCTGGGGTTCATGCGTGGGCAGACTGCTCACGTAAAGCCTGGTGCAGCAAAAATAACAATGAGGATGTGTGTGTGCTGATTTCCTGCTGCGAAAGACGGTGCTGCTGCTGTGCTGCTAGTACTCTGTGCGCTGCAAGTTTTGTGTGCAACTTTTGGGTTGCTCCCCAAGGTTTTGTAGGGTAGCCCTGGACCTATGTAGTAACTTCCTCCTCCGCTACCACCTCAGTAAGCCACCGCCTCCAAGAGTAGCAAGGTGGGAGGTGTCTTGCAGGTCATGTGGAGTACCATATTGCCGAGGAAAGCTGATCCACTTGGGATGGAGTTTGCCGCCGTCAGTGTGCACAGGGAAAGTGGCCGTGGCCAAACCATTGCTGCCTGGCCGTGTCCGAGGCTGCATGTGCATATGCACGCTGCTCGCTGCAGTAAGGTTTGTAAGGTTTACCCTTAACCTCCAGATGAGGGGCATGCAATGTTTGGGCTGCGACCTGGGGTTTTGTCGGGGAACCCCGAACCTGAATATAGAATTCCTCCTCCGCTGCCACCATGATCAGTAAACCACCACCTCCAAGGGTAGCTAGGTGAGGCAGAGCGTGAAGTGCGCAATCGAATTGAAAAGCCAATCCTGGGGCCGCAACCCAGGGTTTAGCAAGGTAGCCCCATCCCTGCATATAGTAACATACCACCATCGTGTCGAAGAGCCGCGCGGGAAAAAGGAGGGGAAGCGTGTTGCACGTGCTGCTATAACTCGGTGCGCTGCAAGGAGAGTTTAAGGCTTACCCCTGGCCTCTGGAAGAGAAAGCGTGCAGTATTTGGGCTGCGACCAAGGGTTTTGTAGGGTAGCCCCCAACCCAAGTAGAGAGTCCCTCCTCTGTTACCACCTCGGTACATCAGTAAACCACCGCTTCCAAGCGTAGCTCGGTGAGGCAGAGCGTGTGAAGTGCGCAACGAAAATTATCCTGGCGAAAGACCCAACCATATGCAGTTGTGAGTACCGCAATTGTGAATCTCTTCTTCGGTGGCGCTCCCTATGGGGTCACGAATCGTATGACGGTGTGCCGAATTGTGTGGCGTAGTCTCTGCAGGGGGCTTCCCTGGGAACCCCGACGGTAGCGGGACGCGTGCGGGCACACCCACTGGGACCTTCGGTGGAGCCCCCTATGGGGCCACTAAACGTGTGAGGGGTGTGCCGAAATGGGTGCGCGGGACGCATGAAGGCACACCCGCTGGGAGCTTCGGTGGAGCTCCCTATGGGGCCACGAAGCGTGTGAGGGGTGAGCCGAAATGGGTGTGCGGGCCGCATGCGGGCACACCCGCTGGGACCTTCGGTGGAGCTCCCTATGGGGCCACGGAGCGTGTGAGGGGTGTGCCATAATGGGTGTGCGGGACGCATGCGGGCACACCCACTGGGACCTTCGGTGGAGCTCCCTATGGGGCCACGAAACGTGTGAGGGGTGTGCCGAAATGGGTGTGCGGGACGCATGCGGGCCACCCACTGGGACCTTCGGTGGATCTCCCTCCCTATGGGGCCACGAAAATGTGAGGGGTGTGCCGAAATGGGTGTGCATGCGGGCACACCCACTGGGACCTTCGGTGGAGCTCCCGGGCCACGAAACGTGTGAGGGGTGTGCCGAAATGGGTGTGCGGGACGCATGCGGGCACTGGGACCTTCGGTGGAGCTCCCTATGGGGCCACGAAACGTGTGAGGGGTGTGCCGAAATGGGTGTGCGGGACGCATGCGGGCACACCCACTGGGACCTTCGGTGGGAGCGCCGAAACTGGGTGTGGCGGGACGCATGCGGCACACCCACTGGGACCTTCGGTGTGGGGCCACGAACGTGTGAGGGGTGTGCCGAAATGGGTGGTGCGGGACGCATGCGGCACACCCACTGGGACCTTCGGTGGAGCTCCCTATGGGGCCACGAAACGTGTGAGGGGTGTGCCGACATGGGTGTGCGGGACGCATGCGGGCACACCCACTGGGACCTTCGGTGGAGCTCCCTATGGGGCCATGCAACGTGTGAGGGGTGTGCCGAAATGGGAGTGCGGGACGCATGCGGGCACACCCACTGGGACCTTCGGTGGAGCTCCCTGTGGGGCCACGAAGCGTGTGAGGGGTGTGCCGAAATGGGTGTGCGGGACGATGATGATGATGGGAGGAGGGAGGAGGAGGGGGAGGAGGCAGCGGGTGGAGGAAGGAATGGGACGCGGGGCGCTGTCTCTTCAAAACGAAGACCCAACACCATAGGACGGTTGGGAAAAAGGCAATACTGCGACTGTTACCTATACGACCACCTTTCGGCGGGTGGTAAGGAAGTTGTGGGGGGGGGGAGAGGGGGGAAACCAACACCTGACTCGATCGATCTCACTATCGATCTCACTCAACGGGACACCACGGGACACCACGGAACACTTGTCGATCTCACTATCGATCTCACTATCGATCTCACTCAACGGGACACCACGGGACACCACGGGCCACCCCGGGACACCACGGGACACCGCGGGACACCTCTCGATCTCACTATCGGTCTCACTATCGATCTCACTATCGATCTCACTCAACGGGACACCATAGGACACCACGGGACACCACGGGACACGTCGGGACACCACATCGATCTCACTATCGATCTCACTATCGATCTCACTATCGATCTCACTCAACGGGACACCGCGGGACACCTCTCGATCTCACGATCGATCTCACTATCGATCTCACTTTTGGGGACACCACGGGAGACCTCGGGGCACTACATCGATCTCAGTATCGATCTCACTATCGATCTCACTCAACGGGGCACCACGGGACACCTGCCGATCTAACTATCGATCTCACGATCGACTCAACGGGACACCACAGGTCACCACGGGACACTACGGGACACCACGGGACACCTGTCGATCTCACAATCGATCTCACGATCCTTCCCACTCAACGGGACACCACGGGACACAGCGGGACACCGCGGGACGCCGCGAGCCACCGCTGGACGGACGGACGGACGGGCGGGCGGGGGATAATCATTTGTCTTGACTTTGCCCTGGCAACGGCGGACACCACGGGACACCACGGGACACCACGGGACACCGCGGGACACCGCGGGCCACCGCCGGACGGGCGGGAGGGGGAGAATCATTTGTATTGACTTCGCCCTAGCAGCGGCGAACACCACGGGACACCACGGGACACCGCGGAACACCGCGGGCCACCGCCGGACGGGCGGGAGGGGGAGAATCATTTGTCCTTACTTCGCCCTAGCAGCGGCGGCTTCATTCCTCTCGCGCGCCCACGCAGCTTTGCCTCGCCGGCACGCACGACACGAACGAAACGAAACCATTTCCCGCTTGGGGGTCTCCGTTCCACTGCGACCTCACCCCCCAAGCTCCGATCCAGGGTTTTGTAGGGTAGCCTCAAACGTGGATAAGGTAAGAGACAATCATCGTGCCATCCTCTGCTTCTAAGTAGACGGCCTGAAACAAAGTGCATATGGGCTGCCCTTTCGAATCGGCTGGCCGTGTGGCTGGCCTATAGTGTTACAGGCTGGCTAGAAGCACAGGTCTAGGGTGCGCAAGAGGGGTGATGAGAAGAAATGCAGCACAGGGTTGTCAAATTTTGCTGTACGCACACGCACTGACATCTGTCACTCAGTAATTTTGCATGGGCAGATTGCTCACGCAAGGGCAGTGCCAGACTGCTACTATGGAAACATGGCGTAGTCGCCAAAGTGCTGCTGGCTGGCTGTGTCCGAGGCTGCGTATGCAATATGGCGTAGCAAATACTATTTTGATAAGAATGGATGGTGCGCCTCGGGCGTTCATCAAAGTCATCCGTGCGTGTCTAGCTGCCGGTAAAAACAGCAATCCACTAGGGTTCGAGGAGATACGTGTGTGAGGTAGAGCGTGCGATGTGCGTAAAGAAAAGAAGGCAATCCTGGGGCTGCTGCCCAGGATTTTGTAGCGTAGCCCCAACCCTGGATAAATAAGGTGAGAAACCACTATCGTGTTACAACACTTGCCTAGTACACTGGGGGCTGAATCGTGACGCCGTCGGTGTTTATTGAAGAAGTGGCTGTCGCCGAAGTATTGCGGCCTGGCTGTCCAAGGCTGCGTATGCACGTCTGCACTGTGCGCTGCAATGAGGTTTTTAAGGTTGACCCTTAACCTTCAGGACAAGAGCATGCAATAGTTGGGCTGCGACCAAGGGTTTTGTAGGCCAGCATCGAACCTGAATAAAGTATCCCTCCTCCGCTAACCCCTAGTGCACAAAC